ATTTCAGGGACCTATATCTCGGTCCACAGGCATTTCCGCACTTAGGGAGTGGTACCATTCGACTCAGCTCGCCGAGACGAATCGAATGACATATGTTTCGAACCGGTTTGGAGCGGGCTCTCGACTAAACTATATCCCAACCCTATTAATAATTGCAATAACTTTATAACATAAATTTAGGGTCGACAGATAAAAAATTATGTAAATATTGTAATGAGGAGATTGATCAAGAATCTTTTGTTATACATGTGGTACGATGTAAAATTTTGAAGAAGAAAAAAGCTGATGAAGCTGTTACTTGTTCTGCTAAGAAACCAAAACTGAATTAAAAAAAACTTTGAGAAGCTAGTGTTGAGGCTTTAAGTTTTTCTGGTTAATTTTAAATTATTTTTGTTTTATGATTTGTTGTTAAATTTAAAAATAAACATTCCTACCTTATTTAATCTCATTTTACATTCTTTTTATTTTACCATATTTTTGGCGCGCCGACCCCGCGCGAAGCGCGGGGTTTTGCACAAGCGCCTTGCCGACGCTCCATAGGTTTAAGTTGATCATTTCGAGCCCTATATCTCGGCCCAAACTTGTCCAATCACAGTGATTTTGGCGTCATTCGACTCAGCTCGAGGAGCTCTTTCGAATGAGCTATCATACAAAAAATCGAATTTTTCACCCCAAAATTCAGCTTACTCCCCCTATGGTTTTTCAAATTTCAGGGACCTATATCTCGGTCCACAGGCATTTCCGCAGTTAGGGAGTGGTACCATTCGACTCAGCTCGCCGAGACGAATCGAATGACATATGTTTCGACCCGGTTTGGAGCGGGCCCTCGACTAAACTACAGCCATATTTTAGCTAAGAAAGTTGATAGGGAATTTTTAATATTTTTTGTCACTTTTCGAAGATTTTTCACACTAAATAATACTCTCTTATTCACCAAAAAATTTATTTATTTACTCAAAACTACCCGTAACTTTTAATGGTTACATTCCCCGTTTTTGCTTTAAACTAAATAAAAAATTGCCTCGCATTTTCTGCTTTTTCTCATCAATTTTCTACCCTCCTAACTGGTATCAAAGAAAACGGCAAACAAAAGCTCATCTTTAAAGAGCAAAAGATTTTTTTATTTACCAGTTTGTGTCTTGTCCACGTGAATTTTTGTGGGCAAATTACGCCTTTTTCTTCTAGAAAAAATATTTTTTTGCTTTTTTTTGTCTACATTACCTCCCTCCCCCCTCCCTCCCCCCTCCCTCCTTCCTCCCCCCCCCCTCCCTTCTCTTCTTTTTTGTATCTTTAAAAGTTATAGATGGGGGAGGGCGGAGTTTTTTTTGTTTGATTATTTCTGATCTTTAATGTAAATTTATAATATTTAATGTTGGTGGTTACGCCCATATAAACGTCTCGATTGTGAGAAATCAAACCTCTATAAATTGAGTTGATAAAATATCAAATGCCATTATTTTTTATATTAATTTGATTTTCGAGTAGAAGGGTCCTTAAAACAGGCGAGAACCTCACTAAGCACCTCTAACTTTATTTTCCAAAAAAAATTTTTTTTTCGATTTTCGACAATCGAATTCTGAAAATTTGGTTCCAATTGACGAAAATTTAATTTTTTATTCAAAAATTTTATTTGATATTTTTGTTAGTTTCCTACCTTAAAAATATTTTTTTCAAATTTAAGTTGTCTACCAACTCATTATTCATCTTTTTCACCACTTCATACAATACAAACATCCTCTTCTAAAACTTCCCCCTTATTTTTATTTAAAATGCCAGCTTATAACGACGAAATTTTCAATACAAACATCGAACAAAATGTTTTGCCTAAATTGGCCGTTTTTGAGGCAGACACCCCTCCTGTCGTCCCTCAAATCAAAAAATCTCGAAAAATGGATTCTCAAAAATTTCGTTCTGAACTTATCAAAAATATTGATACTTTTATTTTTGACGCTGATGGAGTTTTGTGGTTGGGAGAAAATGCAATTCCTGGGTCTTCGTCTTTCATTGAACATGTTGCAGAATTGGGGAAGAGAATTATTGTGTTGACTAATAATGCAACTAAGTCTCGGGCCGTTTATGCAAAGAAGCTTGCTGGTTTGGGTTATGGACGTTATATTAATGAGGTGGGGGAATTGAAAGAATATACTAATTATAGAAAGATCAGAATTTCATTATTTCCAATTAAAGGCGGGTCGGAATTACGATTTCCTACGTTTTTTTCTTTCCAATTTCCGAAAAAAATTTTGATCTTTTTTCTCAGCCAGTTCCGGTTTCCGGCTCTTCCGATTTCCGAATTCTCTGACTGTTCCGACCCACCTCTGTTTACAATCAGAATTTCTATCAGAATTTAGAAGTAATACTTAACCAGAATTTAGCGAGCATCTTATGCCAGAATTTCATAATTTAAACAATTATTAAAAAATTAAATAATATTAAGTAAAATACTTGAAGTAAAAAATATTTTTAGCACAACATTGTAAACCCCGCTGCTGTTGTTGCCGATCTCATCCATCGTTCTGATCTTGCACGTCACGACAAGAAGGTTTACTTGATTGGAAGTCAGGGAGTAAAGGACGAATTAAAACTTCTAAATATTGAATATTTTGGGGATGGGTAAGGGAAATTTGGAAGAAGATTTAATTATTTTTATCTGTTTTTAAAGAATTGACCCAGTAGATGCGCAACCAGCATCAAAGGGCCAGGCTTTTCTTTATGAATTGGAACTTGAAGAACACCCGGAAAATGTTGGAGCTGTTGTTGTTGGCTATGAGAAATATTTTAATTATCTCAAATTAATGAAGGCTGCAAATTATTTGCAAGTGAGTTTCTGGGAGAAGTTAAAGAAAGTTATTCGAACTTGGGAGGATTTTTAAATTTTAATGAACCCCCGTCTATTAATTTATCTACATATTTTGTTTTTTAGAATGAAGACTGTCTCTTTTTGGCAACCAATGAAGACGAAACTTGTCCAGGTCCAAATCCCGAAACCATCATTCCAGACGCCGGGCCATTAGTTGCTGCTGTCAAAACTGCTTGTGGACGTGAACCTTTAACCGTTGGGAAGCCGAATACTCCAGCTTTTGACTATATTTGTCGACGTTGGGGAGTTGATTCAATCGACCCGCAACGTACTTTAATGGTTGGAGACCGTGTAAATACTGACGTTAAATTTGGACGTGATCATGGATTGCGAACTCTTTTGGTTTTGAGTGGATGTCATGGGGTAGGAGGAATTTTGCGAACTCGAAGAAATTTAATTTTTTAAAGTTGGACGATATTGAGGACGGCATTCTTCAGAGCCGTGAAGATTTGGTACCTGAGTTTTATGCGGACAGTCTTGGAGCACTCATTCCAACAAAAGAGAAGGTTAATAAGAAGAAGACTAAAGCTGAAGAAGGAGATCAAAGGCGAAAGGCTGTTTGCGTTTAAAATACACATTTTTTCTTTAAAATTTATTTAACAATCAAATATTTTGTATAAATTTATTATACACACTTTTTTAAATAAGATAAATAATTTAAAATAATTGTCGTATTTGTAAAGTAATAATTAATTTAAAAGCATTATGTATAGCATATAGCTATTAATTTCCTAAGGCTGAGCAGTAGGCGGCGTGTAATTTAACAAGGCAGGAGAGCCCTAATTTAATTTTTTTGAATTCAATAGAGCCCTACTTTAAAAAATGATTCTAACCGAGTTAAAAGTCTAATTTGATTAATCGAGATACTGGTCCTTGCGAGATTTTCTAAATTTTGAAAAATCTTTAAACTGAAATACATCTATTGGTTCCGTCTCAGTTTGCTAAATGGAATAGTACCTTTTCCTATGTGAAAAAATTTTTCGTTTCGAAAAATTCTAATGCGGAAGCTCATATTCGAATACTATACAAATTTGAATGGCTCCTGTTGAATCAAATGAAATCAATCATCGTGATCAGGGGTGGGCGCAAGAGAAGGATCTAATAGCATTCCAAATTCCCCATAATCATGCAAATCCTTCGATATGCAACAAAATTCTTTCTTTTTCAGCCCACAGGCGAAAATTTTTTAAAGTTCTTCAGCTCAAGGAGCCAAAATCCTCCGTTTTCCAAAAATCACTGCAAAATATACAAAATTTATAATAAATTCACTGTTATTGTAAATAATTCTAGGTTATTATCTGTTAACGAGACAAAACGGCATAAATCTTTTTTTTTAAAATCTTTTATTTTAAATTTATTTTATAATTACGTGAATTGTATATCTAAAATTATTACCTTTGTCACTTAATTTTGTTCTTTTTTGGAAAGTAAAAATCAAATCTTTTTTATGTATAATTATTACTGGCTTTTAGATATAATAAAAAAATTTCTATAAACATTATAAATATAAAAATAGCACCTGGTTTTTATTTGGTAAATTGCATTTTTTAATATTACTTTTTAAGGCCAACAATTATTCGAGAATAAACTAAAAATACGATAACCAAAACTTAAAAAGAGTGCTGAATATTAAGAATTATTTAATTCTGCTTAATTAATTATTTCTTAGTAATTTTTTATTTAAATATTAATTAATGCTTATTAAATATTTAAATTAAAGACTAAAATAAAAAAAAATTTCTGACACTAAAATTATCAATTTCTAATTATAAAATATTAATTTTAAAAAAATTTAAAATAATTTTATTAACAAATAGTAACATTTATCTTTAATGAATTTTAATTTGAAATTTAAATTCCACCTGGTAAAGCGCTAATTTTTAATCTAAATTAAATACACATTGTAGTTGGATTTTAGAAGGAAAATCTGTTATTTTTATTAAATCTAAGGTTGGTACTTTTCCGTTATGCCATACATCCCTATTTAGTCCTCAAAATGTCATATATAGGGTAATAAAAGGTCCTAATGTTTATTTCCCGATATAAAGAACCTCTAGAACCTCTTTTTAAACATTGAATTTAATTTTATTTTAAAAAAATATTTTAGAAAGCTCGATAACACATTAAGCTTCTCATTGACATGACATTTTTAATTAATGGAAAACTTTCCAATACTTCTACAATTCTTGGAGATGAGGTAAAAATTTTATACAATAAAAAATATTTCTCTCATCCTTCCTATGTATTGTTAGAGATATTTTTGGGAGTTTTCGAAATTTCTTGAGCATTTTCAGTTTTTCAACATGTACCGTGATCGTGGTCTTAACCCTGGACTTGCAATTATGGCATTCCTTATTGCTTGTTGTGCTATATCGGGAAATATAATGAACGCTTTTCTTGTGTATATTACAGCTAGAAATAAGTAATTTAGATTCTAAATTTTAATTTATAATTCTCAGAAATCAAAGAGTCCGATTTCAATTTTCAGATCTCTTCGGGGCAGCACCAATTATTTATTGGCCCAACATTCATTTTGCGAATTTTTCCACCAAACAGGACATTATATTTTCCTCTACACAATATTTTCTGGGAAAAATTTTATTTCATATGCAACAAGTACAGCATTCCAAATACAGTCAATCTTGGGTTACAATTCTGCAGTTTTTACAATGTTCGAAACAGCTACTGATCGTTTATTATGTGTATTAACTCCTACACTGTTTGTATATTTCAATCAGAATTAATTAAATTACAAATTCTGATTTTATTTAAATTAAAAATGTTTCTTTTCAGAATTATATAAAACTCAGAATTTTTAAAGAAAATTCTGATTTATTTTATTTATGAATTCAGAATTATTTTGTAATGTTTAAATAAAATCAGAATTTTTAATTAAAATCAGAAATTGTACCTGTATTATTTTTTAGATGAAATTTATTTTTCTTAAATTTAAATTCTGATTTTATTTTCTTAAATAATTATTTGTTTTGTTTCAACCAAATCAGAATTTTCGCTTTAGAAAAATTTTTATTTCAATAATTCTGATTTTATTTTCAAAATTACATTTAATTTTAGCTATTCACAAATTGTTGGGCCTGTTTATTTAGGAACGTTCAGCATTTTATCCTTCATTCCCGGAGCAGTTTTGGCTTTTTTAGTTTTGTTATATGCAATAGAAAATCCGGCAGAGTAAGGGATATTATTTTAAATTATTTGAAGTATAATTTTAGACCGGTAACTGGCCAACTTAGCGATACTTGTACTCCAGTCCAATTAATTTATAATTACAATTTAGTAATGTGTGTTCTTTGTATTATTTCCTATGTTATTATTGGGGCAATTGTTGTGAAAAAAGGTGAATATAAATTAAAATTAATTTTTGAAGTAAAAAAGCAAATTTATTCTCGGGAAAATATATTTTTGAGACAAAATATTGAAATTGTTCAGTGCCGAACTTTCGATTTTCGGCTTTTTCTGACAATCTTCGATTTTTCAATCAATTGGATTTTTTCAAATTTTAATTTTTTTATTTTCAATGTAGCTCTTATCATATAAATATTAGGGTTGGGGGCCCGGTTCGGTTCGAAAGATAAAGCCTGGCCTCGAATTTTGGCCCGAAAAAGACTCGAACGGCTTGGTTTAGAAAATGAGGCCCGAAAAATGACTAAAACGTCGGCCCGGTACGAAAAATCCAACCCTAATAGATGTTCTAAACTAACTTTTCTAAAATTATTCCTTTTATTTATTAAATAAATTTTTAGTAAAAGAAAATCAAAACAAAAGGAACGCCAATTATTTAAATCAACGGAACGCCAAACTTTTGCGTTCACTTTCAGCGATAATTATAATTATGGTTGGAAGTTATTTCCTCAACACTCTTATACGAAAATTTGTCAGCGATATACTCCATTTAGGGCCTATTGGTTTGTGGTATGTTAATGTTGCTGGAGGTGTTTTGGTAAATATTGGAGCAGCTTCGAATACTCCGATACTTTACGCATCAAGGCAAGGGATTTTTAAAATTTTGCCAACTAAATTTGAGCTTCGGGTCATTATTAATTAATAGGCCCTTTTTGGTCGATCTTTATTGATATCCTGAAGAGTTCATCGTAACCACTAAATAGTTTAATTCAGGGCTCGGATTCGTACATTATTTGCAAGTACAGTACTTTAAAATCGACCTCCGTACTTACGGAATTGAATTTGTACTTTATTGAAAGTATGTACATACTTTAAAATCAACATTTTGAATTGAAAATGAAATCGGGGAAGGGATTGGGCAAAGAAGTGAATTTTTTAGCCTACGGCCTTCGAAATTCTCAAAATTTTCGCCTTCTTGGGCTCCAAATTTAAAAAATTTTTCGCATGCGGCGCTGAAAATGGGAGAAATCTGGCTTCTTGAGCTCTAAAATCCTCAAAATTATCGCCTGCAGCGCTGAAAATGGTTGAAAGAAAGTAACTTGACATATTTAAATCAATTTTTAATAATAATATAACTAAATTAATTTATCTAAAATTTAAAGCTCAGAATATCGCCGAGTTATTGACAATGAATTACATTCAATCTTTGGCTCGTATTGGAAAATCTCTGCCCCCAAACCTCCAAAAAATCTTTTTGCTACAACAGCATCGCCGAATGAGAATCAAAAAATTTTTAATAGAATAAATGCAAAAATCAACGCTGTGAGTTCGTCGACGGATCCAAAGACAGCGCGAGTACATCCTACTCCTATCAATTTTTTGCCCATAATTTAGTTAAATTGAAATTTAATAATTGAATTAATAAAAATATTTTTTGTTAAAAAATAAAAGAAATTTTTAAGTTCCAAAGAGAACGTCTTGGAAATAATTTTTGGGGGTAATTCTGCTGTGTCAAGTGAGATAGGAATTAAGCTATTTTTTAAAATTTAGATCTGCCAGATCGGATAAAGATGAACGGAATTACATAGAGTTTACCCTTTCCCTATTTAATTTTCCGCCACTGTATGTAGGAACGAAATCATTCTGCAAAGAAAAAGTCTTTGTTATTAGTAGGATCCAAACCAAATCTGTCAACCAACAATGCAGAGATCTAAACTATTTATTTAAAATACGGAATTTATTTTTCTCAAAATTCTTTTATTTATCTTTATAGTAGCCCAAAATTCGAACCTATTTTGGCCCTTTTCGGATTTTTCCCCCTATTTTGCCACTTAAAAGCCTAAAATAGGAACCTATTTCTCACTTTTTCGGACCTAAAATGTCGGAAACTAGTCATAATAAAATGCAGAGATGTAAACTATACTTGTTATCATTAAAAATTATCCGAACTCTATTAATTACAAAGTCTTTAAAATTAAAATTATTAATATCTCTTTTAATTTATTTACGTATGTATTATTCATAAAACCCAACAAAACACCAGACTAACAATTCTAGAAAAACTTTAATAAAAAATGAATAATATTTTTTATGAGTAATACTTATAAATTTAATAAATCCCAAATAATGTGAAAAGAAATAAAATAAAAAATTTTCAGTTTAGCGAGTTTAGTTTCTCTCAAAATTTATTATATAAACAATAAACAATTTTGTGTAAAAACGCCGCCAAAAAGTTTTCCGTTGTTTACCAAAAATTCAGAAAAAAACGGGTAATTTGTTTTAACTTTTTAAAAAAAAATTTGTCTTGCTCAACAAAAAAGGTGACAGTTAATCCATCAAATTTTGAGAAATATTTGGAGGGGGGGGGGGGGTGAAAGTGTGGAAAGTTGTTTAAAAATAATTTTCTCTACTCTTTGACTCAAAGAACCCTAAAAAAATTTTTTAAGTGATAATTTTTTAAAAACCTGTTCATGGGAATAACAATATGGGAATAATAATAATAATAAAATTTTAAAAACAAGATAAAACGAGATAATTTAAAATACGAATAAAAAATAAGCGTGAGTATGCACATAGGTATATTAAAATTTAAAAATTTGATGTAATAAATTATAATAATGGCCATGTGCGCAAGTTTAAATAGAAAATAATAGACAATCATCAAGATGATGAAATAAAAAGATAATATTACAAACTAACTCGTAAACAACTTACAATTATGTAATGAAACCAGAAAGATAAATTAAATATTTTTTGTCAAATTTAAAGTTATCCAAACTTTATCTAATTTTGACGAGCTATAGTACTAAAATGGGTTATATTATGAATAATTTATATGAATGGATTTTGATTTAACAACTTTATGGGCTCCAAAACCATAATATAAAATAAAATAAATTTTTGGAGAGTGAATTGAAGTTAGCAGATCAAATTGAATTTGGTCTGGAATTGAATTTAGGCGCCAGACATATGCATATTGACTCTTCCACAATTTGTATAAAGCTATAACCATCTGTCATTTTCTCCCAGTTTTCGCGCAACCTTTCAACACTCTTCAAGAAAAACGACGCCGATTTTGTTTTTTACAAACAAATTTTGTAATTTTTTGTAGTAATTTTTGCATTTTTTAAAAATAATTTGCACGCTCTAATTTTAGCTAGAAGAAAGGAGAACGGTTAAAAATAAAGGGAGAGAGGAAAGAGAAAAAAATAAAGAGTCGTAGTCAAGAAATGCGCAGTCAAAATAATAAAGGAAAGAGAAAAAATTGTTTTTGTTTAATATACATTTTTTCAATTTTGTTTTATTAAATGATTGATATTACTTAACAAAAATTATCAAGAGAGTAAGAAAACGCGTGGTTACTTTAAACAAATTTTTTTTTGTCAAACAACCGTTCTCATAAACAATTTGGCAAAAAAGGAGGCGTCGTCTCCAATAAACACAAATTTCAAGATGTATAAAAGTGTTCAAGTCAAAACAATTAAATCATTCTCAGTTTTAATTTAATTTTTAATACCACATTAAAAACATAAACAAAATGAAAACCTCAGTGTTGTGTTTATTTTTGATTATTTCTATTATTTCAATTTATGCCGATGATAAAGAAGTTGAGAATCATAAAGAAAAACGTGATGGTGATGATAAAGCACTTACTCATAAAGTTGATGATGGAACAAGAGAGGAGCGTGATGATAAAGAGAAACGCGATGATAAAGAAAAACGCACCGATAAGACCATAACAGGAAAGAAGCATGTCGAAGCAGATGAGTCAAAAACCGAAACTTCTGGTGCTGATGAACGTGAAAAGCGTATTACAGGAAAGAAACCAACAGAAAAGAAACCTGTTGAGGAAGTTTCTGACGAAACAAGGTGGGAAAATATTTTTAAAAATTTAGATATGTATGAAAAATAATAATATTGATAATTATGAAAAATATGTATAGGTATTGCCCATATTAAAAGAAATTTTATAAATGTTCTCAAGACATGGTCTAGATTTTAGAATATATTCTATGTTTATGCACCTGTGATCATGCTGTTGCATAACTTCTGAATATCCTGAAAA